TGTGTGTATTGTGGATAAAAACTACTACCGTGTGCTACTAACGGTAATGAAGTTATAACAGAACTATGTATGTATGTGGCATTTTCTTTGCTGCTCTGTTCGGTTCAGCGCACACAGTTTCTACTTTCCTGCCAAACACGAGGATTAAAAATAAGCCTAATAACGTCTAATAAGTCTCCGAGCTGGATCTGCTGCAGGTTTCGGTTGCAGTTTTCACAGAGTTCAGAAAGACTTTCTGGCAGTTGTGTTCAAATGATCAGCTTGGCTGTCCCAACATAATAATAAGACAAAGAGGAGAAATGAGAGGTGGAGTTTACATTTGTGTATTTCTGGCGTTAACAGACACTCTTATCTGAATCAGCTTCCAACAAGCAGCTCACAGAGACAGACAGACTGTCTGGAGAGCGTGGGCGCCTGGGAGAGACAACGACCACGGGACAGTAATATGTTCTTTACTTTTATTTGACGCAGATGATGGGATTAGTTGGTTAATTGTTTAAGCAAAGAAGCTCTTTAATAGTAATTCCCAGTCCTCTGGGTGCAATAAATCCCTTTAGTCCTTTAACATCTGTGTCCTCCACTCTTCAGCGTGCAGCATGTGGGAATTTTTTAGAGACTCTCATGATAGTGAGACAGACGGGCACAAAAGAGATCTTGTGAATGGAGATTGAAAGTTCAGCCTGGCCACCAACGCCACCCTTCACACACTGCGCCCCCACAGGTGCAGGACCAGCACTGCGAGCACTGCGGCTCACAGACCATCAGAGTCCAAATCCAAGCTGAAGTCGTCCTCTAAGAGGATCACGTCTTCTAAATATACTCTCACCACAGGTAGTTTCCCCGAACAGGGAGCTAAGCAGATTACTGATAACAGATACGCCGAACGCACAACTCAGAGTGTGAGGGAACTCTGGGAAAACACCACTATCAGTACAGGTCATCTACTTAACAATACAAAAAAACCCAATGCATCATACTAAAAGCAGATGACAGCGCTCCACATTTCCCTATTTCAGCAATGAGGTTGCATGTTCTCGGAAGTCTGGATCACCATACTCCATCCCACGGATCTTATCTGGAAAACTTCAGCTGTGCTGAAGAGTGAAGAACGTTTTTGTGATTTCTTTTTTTTGTTTGTTTTAAATTTAGTGGATTTTCCAGACTGTCTTTACTTTACTTTCAGTTTTGTCATTACTAAAAATGTAAACCTATTTAGCTGTTTTAA